ACCAAGTTATCTGCAATTTGCACAACAAGTTACGACCTTACCTAAAACCAGGGGCGTAGTGATTTACAGTGACCCAACATTGAGCTAAAGAGCTAAGACAAAATAATTTTGTTTGGAATCACATAGGTAGTAGGGCACTGTAAAAAACACGTCTGATGCACAGGCAGATCAATGTCCTGATGAAATATCTTGAGCATCTGAAATCTGCAAACTACAAGATATGACTGAAAAATTAGCAAGCTGACTAAGGGATGAATCCTTCAAAAATATATCACTAATCTTTTTGTTTCAACCACAATTATTATTTGACAAGATGATCACAGGCAGATCAAGTCCTCTGAAGTTTAATTAATTCATAACATTACATAGAACAAATACCTTAAACCAACTAAATAATGTGATGTGAATTAATTGAAAAATAATACAAAAAGACATCTCAAAGAAACCTTTTATAAAGTTATAATAATATTAAATTTAAACAATCATAAGTGTCTTATATCAATTATTACATGATTCACGTCAAGAAAAATTATTAACAGTCCTATGACTTTTCACCTTATTCCTGGAGTCAAGGCATTTTTCTACTAGTATCGTCTTTTTTGCCCAATTTCAATTTTTAAAAATATTTTCATTAAATTAAATTTTAAACCAGAAACCCTTGTTAACATCAGGTAAGGTGCTTTTCAGAGGAACTTTCACTAGTTAGATATGTTAAGTCTATAAAATCACAGTCTCTTTCTTCAGGCAAAATCTCAGACATCGTCTCTTTAAAAATCAAATCAGTGGTCATATGAATGCAATCTTTGTATTTTTTCTCTGTTTCCTGTACCTGCACCTGTGTGATCTTTGGCAAAGCACAATTACTTGGATGTATCCTCAACATATTTGTCTGAACAGTCACAGAAGAGTGTGCTTCACCTACAAATTTAAATATTAAAATCACTTGAAATATAATGCTAGAATTGGTATGGTACATAACCTTTTAAGTGCCTGACTGTACCTCTTCCCCCATCACTGTGTTCATATACAAACTAGTAGTTGTGTAGTATAAAATAATCTCCCCACCTTTTCTAAGCTAGGCAAAAGCCAATATCTTAACTTTAAAATTGTATGTCTTGTATGTAGTAATTTATAGTGATTTATTTAAATTAGTTCTTACATGTGCACTTGACCATGAATTCAGTTTTAAAGGGTTCAAAATTCCAGACAACTGTAATGTTAAACTAAATTCCACATTATTTAATGCTTTTAAACATACCAGCAACAATTGGCTTGCAAGGACTTTTAATTAAGGCTCTGATTTAAGTAATTTTCAAGGATTTTTAACTAATGAGGGCAAGTTATACATTTATACAGTTATTTTAAAGTGTACATGCTAAAGGACACAGGACTCATTTCATTTAAACTTTGTCTTTTTAACACATTGATGATGAAAAGTTGAAAATAAAAGTACAAGTAATGATGTATGAAAAGGTATTACCCCCAACTGTGAATTATTGTCTATATTCATGTCAATAAACTACAAAGTTTAAAATAATATTTTTATAAAGACAAAATGGTGAAATGCAAACCTTTTTCAAGCTTAATAGCAATTTCAAGTACTTTTCAAAGTCACATATAAACTAGAGCTCAAAGTGGTGGACTAAATTTGAACACTTTTCTAGGCTTTATGGATCCTGGTGCATCAGTAAATTATGGGAAAATACCAAATTAAAAAGACATGTATCAGTACATGCTCTCTTGATTTTCTTACTAATTTCCAAAAAGATGTCTTCTTTTTATATCCAGAAATCAATGCTTTCAGCCTTCTTGCCTCTTTCTTAGAACATTTCTGACCTTCTGGCTTAGATTTTTGAAATGGCTCAACGGAACTGACTGTGCTATGTATAGTTATTTTACCTGATTGTCATTGAGCAGGCTGTAGGAAAAGTGTTTATATCAAACTGACAGTTAAGATAAATACCTGGGTTGTAATGAATCTGGTCTAGTGAAAGTTACCAGTTTACTTTAATCACAAGTCCAGCTGCAATTGATGCCAACTATAAAGTTTAAAATTTATATATTATGCAATTGTACATTATAATAATATTTCAATCATTTGTCTGATTTCAATAACAATAATAATAATAATAACAATAAAGTAATGTTTCACAGCATTATTTAAAAATATAAATCTCTTCACTCAATTATTTTTTATAGGTGAAGTTTATGTACTACATGTATATATGAGAGTTTATAGCTTGGAAGATAAATAAAAGCAGAAAACTGGTTTTTAACCCAAGGAATTTGACAAACTATTAATACGTTAATAAAAAAAATATATATATATATTTTTTTTTTCTTTTAATCCTATAAACTATATGTAACTGATCAATAGATAAGCTCATGTGATTCTCAGTTGTGAACAAAAACATTTTTATTATAACAGAAACATTCATGTCAATTGAGTTGTTTATTGCATACATTGGCATAACTACTGTACATTTTGCAGTTATGTAGTGCATATTATGATGTGGTTGGGCCAACGTTGGGCCAACGTATTACTACCAACGCCAACTATGTGCCAACAAACTAACCATCCCCCTACGCTGGCCCTACGTATGCTTGCTATCTGGTTACCCAGTATCAGCAGTCTGATCGACAATGTTTTCACAGGTGAGAGTCATGTCACTTCAGCTCTACCTGTAGATTTAACCGATGGCATTCCTTTATGAGCTTTAATTCCACCCAAACTGAAACAAAAAATTTGGAACAATGAGTTTATAGACTTCCGGCTCCTTCCCTCCAACCATAATGATGATTTCGCTATCAAGGTCCAGCCAATGAAATTTGAAGTGATCCACACGCCCTCGCAGAAATCGCCGATTACCCTTTACCAATGGACTGATGCCTTTTTTGTTTTTTCAGCGATTTTCTAACAAAAAATTTCAAATGATTCTGTAAAATTACTTAAATACGCGTCAACTATTAGAGAATAAAGTAAGCTACCTGATGCTAATGCTTGGCGTAGGCCCTATTTATGATGACGCCTTTCGCAAATTAGGAGCAACAACATAAATACAATTACGCTCTAAAAGTATACAAGGTACGATTTTCATTTTTCAATGTGACTCAAAAACCCATTATTACAAAAAGAAAGTCTACATAACATTAAAAAATTTGTTATGACGAATTAATTTTTTCTTCATTTTAAAATGTTACCTTTTACAGTGCTTTAAGAGTGGTTGCAATTTTTAACAAGATTTATTTATTTAAAGCTATTGGTGGTGGCTTTGGTGATCAAGGAGTATGCCGCTGAACATTCTGAGAAAGTAAAAACGCCCCAAATGCACGCAAACCAATTCAACCGCATATTTGTGCACGGTGGTCCTAAGCCTGGGCTAAGTACCCTGAGTGTCAGGGCACTGGAAAGCTAGCTTGGTCACTCTACCTTTTCATGTGTTGGCTTTACAGTGCCCCTGAAGAATTGGGGCAGGTTTGAGTATCTTTCAATCAAAGACTGCATTCCCATAGATTTTAGATCGATCTATCCCCGTGGGGAGTCTCACTAGATTGCTGTCAGATTAGCCGGCTAAAATGTCTGTCCCGCCTACTAAAAGCTGTAAGGGGGTAATTAACTTCGTGTGAGCTCGGCTGACAACAATTTAGCGTGAACCCCCAGGGAGTTAGGTCGATCCAGATGGATCGATCTAAATCTGTGGGAACCCAGTCAAAGGAACTGCTCTGCAGTGAATCTGCAGTTGAATGTCATCAGTCCAATATATGAAACCTAAACAGATTTAATTTTGCTTTATTTAATTTTTGTTTTCTGTATTTAAGATGTTAATTGAAAAATAAATACTATGTTTTTTAAAAGAAAAAGACATTCTATATGTTTGTATTTCATTGCTTATCAAAAAACATTTGCTCCTGAAGATATAAACACAATACACGTGCTTGCCGTGTGCCAAGTTTGACAGCTACACTATATGTCCGATACCACTAAAAGGACTGCGCAATGGCTGCACCAAAAATCAGTTTTATAAGCAGAAAGGTGCTTGTGTTGTGGCACTGATTTTCGATTGCAAGGTATTCTTAGTTCAAACTTCAAACTCCGCGTCAACCACTCTGCTTCTTTGTTCTTTGTCCCGTCTGCACGAGATGACGTCAGCCCAAGGCGGGAAAGGCAGCTCCAAGCGGGACAGACTGTGACGTAGAGACATGTGACTTCTAAATATGGAAGCGCCCCAGGCAAAATTTTGCCGAACACGCCCCCAGTATGCCTCTGGTGGATAGAGTCGGCATTGCTGATGTGGGTTATATATGAAATCAAGATCGAGCTGACAATACCGAAATCTAGACCTTAGGGTAACATGTACAGGCAAGCTGACAGTTCTGTTCGTTTAATCATGCTCTGGTGCGCTATCTCTGCAGTATAAACACGCCGAATCAGGTAGTATGTATTTTTTGACACGAGTAGATATATTTTTGATACCAGTAGATATATTAAACAGGTTCCCACGTTAGCCAGCTTGTCAAAATGGGTTTTGGGAGAAGGCTTGTCTTCAAGCATATAGCTGTGTCTGAGGGAAGTGCATCGCACTAAGCACGGAACATACCCCTGTTTGGCAGTGGATCATATTCCTATATACCAAATACAAATGTCAGTAAAAATATACGGCAAAAACTTGGCTCAATGAAAGTGCGTCTTTGTGTGTGTGCTCACGTGCGTGGTTGTGGAATGCGCGTGCGTTTCTTTGTGTGTTCACGTTTTAGAAAAATGACAAAACTCGAAACAATTGGTTTGGATCACAAATTTGGAAATCGTATTGACATAGTGCAATGCTATAAACATATATAAAGTATTATATAACTGTATTCAAACAAATCATTTTTGTTCTGTATCGTACAGGGCACTAGAACCCTATACCAAAGTACATGTACTTATCTTGTTTGTTATGTGTAAAGTCCTGATAAGAATAGGTGACACCTTCTCAATTCCACGTTGGTTTTTACGTAATTTAAGACTAATATATTGCTTTCTCCAGATTTTTTTATTGCGATGGACTTCTCAAAGGCACAATAGCACAGACGTACGTTTACAAATACGCAATGACGCATGTATGCAGATAAATGCACCAAGTTTGGCACATGTTCAGAGAGTGAGAGGGGAGTATGGCGGTGGGGAAGAGAGAGGGAGGACGTGCAGGTTGAAAGATCCTTCTCGCAATCTTGCTTTGAGGCGTCATGGCTGCAGTATAAAAAGCCGAGTCACTACGTCGGCACATTTAGATACGAGTACATATTTTAGACGGGCTTGCTTGACAACCTGCACGTCGAAATGGGTCTTGGACTACTGCACGTTTGGCTACTAGTATGGTTTGTCCTAGGGTATTACATCCCACAAGGCACGGGCACATACCCCCCATGTAGCAGCGGATGCCCCGGGGTATATTATGGTGGGCCGAAAGGTAACCACACTTATTTCATGGTAACGCCTTTAAAGGCAGTGTAAGCTGTGATTGCTAACAGTATTTAAGCATTATCGCGTAATGTTGTTTCTATTACGATAGACTCATGTCTTTAAACTGCACAATGCTGTGTCATTTCAAACATTTTCTCAATCTAAATTACCTCAGGTGCAACAAAGAGTCTTTTATGTAATTAAAACAAATATGACGACAGGATTATGAAACTAAAACGTTAATAACTCCCATAACATTTTATCTTAAGACCATTCTACAATATTTGACAGTCGTACCTAGAACATACATAAAATGAATCGACCTTTTTTGTGACGTTATTTTTTTATACGACATTTCTAAAAATTACACTCCTTTACTGTTAAGGTTGCTCCGAGTTGATGTTCAGCTCATCTAAAAAATACCAAATATGTAAAGATGCAAGTTCCTGGACTTCGGCACAATGGTATTGCAGAAACAAACTAGGTGGGAATCTTGCCTATATTGGACCTAACATGTACCAAGAGCAGAGAGCCCTGAACAGTGCTCTGGGAAGACACGGTATCCGGTATGCCTGGATAAAGGGATGCATCAGCAGCGGATATCCCTCTAATACATATGGGGTATATCATTCAACCTACCAAAACCCCTCAAGGTATGACATTTTAAAGGTTGAAGACATAATTCTTGTAACAATTAAAGGAGTTTGTTTTACACCAGATGCTGCTCCTAAAGAATGATGTGTCATCTGGTACACATTATTTGTTACAAAGAGATCAATTCTTCAATTAGCTAAAACTTGTTATCATTTGACAGATTTTCACTAAAACAGACTGAAGGCCCTCTGGTATACGGTGTAACGTGACAGAGTCACCCATTCTAGAGTCCGCTTCCCATTTATTTGTACAGGAGAGCCTCACCCTAGATTTTGGTCAGGCTTTTATAGGTTTCTATAGCTAAATGGAGGGCGGACTTTCTGTTACACGGACCCTCAGTTTCGTTACATCAGCTGTAAATAACTTGAGTCTTGCGAAAATTGTGAACCCGTGTTACACACTTCACCCATCATTAGATTCATACAGGTTAGGTTTTGCGTGACATACAGTAAACGGGTCAAAATCTGGGATGGGGCGTACCTATACAAGTCAATAGGAACCGGATCGGTCCTGTATCACATGGGACTTTCTCGTATTTGATACGGCCTATAATGGAAGCTCTAGTCATTAAGGTAAATTTGAGAACTTAGAGCGAGCAGCCAAAACAATTACATATTTCTAAATAGAAAAATGCATTATCTACGTCTTACAATAATATGCATTATTTCATATTCCAGGATACCATATGGACGCTACAAAAGAGCAGGTTATCTCTCTCTCTCTCTCTCGTGTGTGTTTTTAAGGTGTTTAATCACTTGTAAAAAGGTATTTGAGACTAAGTATGCTTCATTTTGAGTAATTTTCCCACAAAATCTGTTAAGTCAATGTGCATGAAAATGATATCCATTATTGCACTGCTGTTATGTATATGTTTTGTACTATACAATGAGTTTACTTACAACTGTATGATAGGTGGTTGTTGCAGCAGTCTTGGCCTCAGTGAGTATGGCACAGCTACCATACGGTCACTGTCGTGTCATTACGCACTGCCCTACATATGCCAGGTAAATACAGGTAGGTGTACATAACTTGTAAATTAATCAGTTTTACCTGTGTGTGTGTGTGTGTGTGTGTGTGTGTGTGAAAAGAGAGAGAGAGCGGGAGGGAGAGAAAGAGTGAAAGAGTCTGCATGTGCGTGCGTGCCTGGGTGTGTGTGTGTGTGTGTGCGCGCGTGCGCAATATAGTAAGTAAGTAAGTTTATTAAGACATGGCAACCAAAAGGTTGAAGTTATACATAAAATGGAGTGAGAATAAAATTTACAAATTTACAAATTAAAATATTGATAAATAATATAGGATATGAGAATAGAACTTAATGAGATTAAAAAAAGGATAAAATAAAATAAATGATATGCCATGAATTCCTTCGTTTCCAGCTCCTGATATGACGGTTATTTAAACACGCATGTGTAATGAGGTTATTCCGGTGCACATGTTTATCACTACATGAAATAACACCTCTAACACAAATAACGAAATGTCCCAATGAGACATAAAATGTTGATTTTATTCATCAGAGTCGGGGTTCAAGAACCCTTGTCGAAACAGTGGAACATACCACGTGGACCACTGCCATTGTCCACCTGGATTTGTCGGCTCCTTCTGTGAAACCAGCACCAGTTATTGCGCCAGACCTGGTATATGCAGTGGACGAGGGAAGTGTTATGACACGCACAACTTTAATGGTTACATATGTAAATGTGACAGTGGTTTTACGGGAAGAAATTGTGAAACAAACATAGACGATTGCCGGTCAGATAGGTTAAAGTGCAGTGGGCGGGGGAGGTGCATTGATGGGGTGAATTACTACACTTGCTCCTGTGACAAAGGATTTACTGGAAAGAACTGTGAACGCAACGTCAACGATTGCGATTTACACCCCTGCAGCGGACAAGGATGGTGCCAAGATGGCATCAATAGTTACACGTGCCATTGTAATGCTGGGTTTACTGGCGTGGATTGTGAGGTTAAAATAAACGAATGCGCCAGCAACCCATGCCACCAACAGCAAGGGACGTGCGAGAGCTTGTTGGGCAGTTATAAATGCCATTGTCGCCCAGGGTTTACGGGTGAAACTTGTGACGCCAATATAGACGAATGTCAATCTCAACCATGTAAGAATAACGCCACATGCAACGATGATATTAACAGCTATTCTTGCTCATGTGCACTTGGCTTTACCGGTTCTAACTGCGAAACCAACATTAACGAATGCGCGTCTCAGCCGTGCAAGAATAACGCCACATGCATTGACGATATTAATGAATATTCATGTTCATGTGCATTTGGCTTTACCGGTTCCAACTGTGAAACCAACATTAACGAATGCGCATCTCAACCGTGCAAGAATAAGGCCACGTGTATTGATGGCGTGAATAGATTTACATGTGCATGCAAACCTGGATTCGCCGGTCGTACATGCCAAACCAATGTTGACGAATGTGCGTCTAACCCTTGCAAGACTGGTGCAACATGTATTGATGGTGTGAATGGATTCACATGCTCATGCAAACCTGGTTTTACCAACCGTACATGCGAAACCAATATCAACGAATGTGCATCTAACCCTTGCAAGAATGGTGGAATGTGTATAGATGGTGTGAATGGATTCACATGCTCATGCAAACCTGGTTTTACCAACCGTACATGCGAAACCAATATCAACGAATGTGCATCTAACCCTTGCAAGAATGGTGCAACATGTATTGAAGGTGTGAATGGATTCACATGCTCGTGCAAACCTGGATTTGCCGACCCTACATGTGAAACCAATATCAACGAATGTGCATCCGACCCCTGTCAGAACGGAGCAACATGTGTAGATGGCGTTAACAGGTATAACTGTGTATGTCCGGATGGGTATACTGGTTCTTTGTGTAAAATCGATATAAACGAATGCGTGTCCAACCCTTGTAAGAATGGTGCAACGTGTATCGATGGTGTGAATGAGTATACATGCTCGTGTCTCGCAGGATTTTCAGGCTATATCTGTGAAACTAACGTCTATGAGTGCAAATCAAACCCTTGCCAAAATGGCGGTAGTTGCAAAGATGCAATCAATGGATACATCTGCACATGCCCATCCGGATCTACTGGAACAAACTGTGAGACTGATATCTATGAGTGTGCCTCTAATCCGTGTAAGAATGGTCTTTGTTTCGATGGTATAAACAGTTTCACTTGTATATGTGGCTCTGGTTTTGCTGGTCCCACGTGCCAAATCAACATAAACGAATGTGCCTCCAACCCTTGTAAGAACGGCGCAACTTGCACCGACGATATTAACAGATACAAATGCAATTGTTTAACGGGATATATTGGTTTGCATTGTGAATCCAATGTCGATGAATGTTCTTCTAATCCCTGTGGTAGCGGGAGTACCTGCTTGGATGGTATAAACGGATACACCTGTAACTGTCCAGTTGGTTATACAGGGACTAACTGCCAGACAAACGTTGATGAATGTTCATCTAATCCCTGTGGTAGCGGGGGTACCTGCTTGGATGGTGTAAATGGATACACCTGTAACTGTCCAGTTGGTTATACAGGGACTAACTGCCAGACAAACGTTGATGAATGTTCATCTAATCCCTGTGGTAGCGGGGGTACCTGCTTGGATGGTGTAAACGGATACACCTGTAACTGTCCAGTTGGTTATACAGGGACTAACTGCCAGACAAACGTCGATGAATGTGCGTCTAACCCCTGCAGCAAAGGACTATGTCTCGACGGAATCGACAGTTTTACTTGTCTTTGTCCAGATGGATATGCGGGGCCAACCTGCCTGATAGACATTGATGAATGTTCCTCTAACCCATGCTTAAATTATGGTACTTGTGTGGATAAGGTGGACGGATACACGTGTATTTGTCCTGCTGGTTACAGTGGAGACACGTGTGGAGTATTAACACCTACCAGTACCAGTACCACCACGACTCTGCCCACCACGACGGTTACAAAGGCGAAAAAAGGTGAGAATATATGCATTGGCTAAAGGAGTGTATGTGCATCTTCTTCAAGTTGCAGAAAATGAACTGTATAAAATGGATTGGGGGTTATAATTTGCCTATTTTTGTATCAATTAAAATTTTAAGCTAGCTGGATCATCAGTTGATCCGAAGACATTGCGATAGGTTGGGAACGTTGTGATCTCCGCTTCAACGTAATTCCCAGTACTACATTTAATCATTTTCTCATTCTCTCATTGGCATATATTAGCTAATATATATAATTAATAAGACATTTAGCATTACGTGTATTTCTAATGTTTTCAAGATCCTTGCCATCCGAACCCTTGCCCAGAAAAAGAACCAGGACAACCAATTATGTGTCAACTCTCTAACGGGGGCTATGAGTGTATTCGGCCCAATGGTGAGTGTAAGAAAACCGCATGGCTACTGGGTATATTTTCGAAACTTATGAAGTTCATGTCAATCTAAGCTATTTATCATTGCGATGTACGAACGTAAGACGACATGATAGTGCTGTCTGTAGCAGCCATTTTAGTAACACTTACGCATGATTTAAATCATTCACCTTAATGCCTCGTGACTGAAGAATAGTGCAACAAACACCTCTACAAAGATTAAGATATTTTCTATTCCTCCCTTTTTCTTCTAGACTACTGCTTGGTGAACAACACCTTATACAAAAATATGGAAACTTGGGGAATCGGTTGTGAGAAAACCTGCCACTGTATCAAGGCTTCAGTGAACTTCTATTACTGTGAACCTAAGTAAGTTACGACAATACTTTGACGCAACGCTTTGATTTCTTGATTTACAACATGATAATACGTATGCATTTCCATACAAATAAAAGTATATAATCTTAAAATATTAAAAGAAAAAAAAAACAATATATGTGAAATAAAAGATAATGCCAAAACCGTTGTTTTATACTTTGGATGTTTCACTGAAACTTATTGAAGATGGATGGCATTCCAGGTGCAGCACTGATTGGAGAGCAGTTGGAATCCCATCCGGGTGTAAACTGAATCCTCCCAAACCCGGGGAATGTTGTGAAACGCTGAATTGCGACCAGCTTACACCCCTGCCTTAGACACGGAAGGACAATTCGCAGTTGTTCGAAATTACACTCAGATTAATAAAACTTGTGGAGGGCAATGATAAGAATGGATCTTTTTGATAACATTTAAGTCCTTATAATATGTATAATGGCCGTATTGGGCTGAGGCAAATCAAGCTGTATAATGATTGATGGTTTAACTCCCTTTGTTAAAAATATGTGAATTAAGGGCATCGAAACGCATTTTAGCTATATGGATGGTGTAGCGAATCAGGATTAACGGTTGCCAATTTAAATCTCCTTCCAATAGTTTGCAAACTGATGTTATTTCCGCATATGCTCTACAGTGTATAAGGTCAGGCGTTAAAGGGATAATAACTCTTCGTATGAGATCTATATTTCACAATAAAAACATTGTGAATAACTCATAGAAATATAATATATTCTGTTTTACCACAAAAACGCAGTTATAGCTATTATACTGTTATCTGAGCTTGTCTTTAGACCACGTGACCTCCATTGATGGCTGTACTCTGTTAAAATCTCTTAAGAGATTTTAACAAAAAACCCAAACTTTTTAGAAAAAAACCAGGGACTAACTTTGAATGTAAAAATGGATTCATTAACCATTGGTAAGTATGGGAAAATTGTTGTTTACTCCAGGAAAATTCATTTTTTGGCCAAAACGAAGAGTTATTATCACTTCACAGGTAGCTGGTAGAAGGCGTATTAGATATCAAAAGTAAAAACGTCTTGTAGATCTATGTAGAAAATATAATCACGTATACTCACATTGCTTACAAAGTATAACGCTTTTGCTAAATTGAATTAGATAGTGGCAATAAACGCTGCCAGGATCGATATTTGAGGTGAATTTTTTTTCAGATGTCTGATAATTTTTTTAAAATTTACGTACACGCGCATTGGGCATTATCGTTTTTAATTTTTTCACATGACAGATAATTTTCTAAATTCACACACAAACACATTCGGCATGATCTTTGTAGGTTAGAATACGGGGCACATATTGGAGACTGACATGGCTCCGGGCACATTAATATAATCTACACTGTTGTCAATAAAATAATCCCGCACGAAGACGCAGTAGATACTCCAGCGCAGTAGACTACTGCAATCACACTGCAAGTATGCCTCAAGTCTGCTTCCATTTGAGGTATGGATGAAGTATATACTCCCCAGAAGTAGCAGTCTACTGCAACCATGCTTCACAAAATCACAGTAGAAATGAAGCATAATGCTTCACCGCAGTAGTACAGTACTGCATTTCTACTCTGCGTGCAGTAGCATGCGTTACGGTAGCAGTCTTCTACTTTCAGTACACTTCATATCGAAGTTGAAATTCAGCAGCTTGATTTAATAACCATTGGTTTGCTTCTTTTCTACTGCTCTGAGTATGTCGATTTCACGGCATCTCAATCCTACTGCAAATCTACTGCAAAACATTACTAAAATGGTCAGCGCGTTTCCGTCTACTTCACATCTATTACGTTCATGGGTGAGTAGGGAAGACAGATGGTGTCTCCGCGTTCGGATACTAACTGGAGAAAAGACGTGATTGTTTGACCGAATTTCATTGTCAGTGGCGGATTTGGGGGGGGGGGGGGGGGGGGGAAGGGGGGTCCTGACCCCCCTTCGGTTTCTGTGAACAAATGACACCAATGACACCTTTTTAATATCAGAATTTTGAAGAGCTGAATCATAATTCTAAACTGCACCAAATGGCACCGTTTGGCCTCCAAAACACCGCACCACACAACAACGGGGCAAGGGTCAGCTACGCATCGGAGACCTGTCATTCTTAAAAAAAACAAAAAAATGGAGCCCCCTTCAAATAATCCTGGATCCGCCCCTGATTGTGACACCAGTAAAGTGTATCACCATGTTTGTGTATCAACCTGTATGAATGTTAAGTTTATATGCGGATTTTTCTTTTTTCATCGTCCATCACAACATCCAGATATTTTTCTTTTTACATACATTTTATTACTTAAAGGTACATACGAACCGAGCATCGGTGGAGCGTGGATTCCCAGTAACACATGTAAACCACTTCTACTAGATTCTTATATGACTCAAATAAATTCGACATGCTAAGGGATAAACTGAATAGATCACTCGAACAGCCATAAAAGACCTTTAGACTGCCCCTTTCTTTAAATTTATGGTTGTAAATTTAACCTACTTTCTTGACCTACTTTCCTGCCCCATTGACATACAGCTTAGAATGCCAGCAGAAAAATCCGTTCAAACATCATTTTTGAGTAAAATTAAGCAATGCCTTTTGGTAATTCTCTTAGTTATACTACTTGAAACTATATGCTGGCATTTGGTTGGTTTTTGTGACAAAAAATTGACTTTGTATGCATCTTTAAAGGTTCTTAGATCAATCGCCTCCTCAAGTTCACTATACCCGTTTTGTTAAAAGCCGCTACTAACGCGTTTTTGGAAAGTGCTAACTTTTAGGTGATTTCTGTTTTAACCATAAATCTCCAAATCCCTATTCAAATTAGAACTTCACGATTTCAGCTTATATTTGCTTTGAATTGAAAGCGATTTCTAATATGTAATCCACCTACCGGTACATGTATATGGGCACGCATATTTAAAAATAGTCGTCATTCAATATCTTACACCAAAATTTCGTTAATTAAATTTTTACCTCTCTATATAAGGAGAAGTTCTTCCAGTTTCTCCTCCAAATTCGTGGTTTTATATTTTGGAATGGAAACCCAAAAGTTGTAAACAGAAGTTCTCCAACAGAGACTTTTCGGAAAAAAAGGGTGTTTTTTCTTTTAAGATGCATAACAAGCGAAAAAGCCGCTCTGTGCATTCCCTGTAACGCATACAAATTACTACTACTACCAGCTTCTTACACAACTGAAACAAAAGAACCCAAAATGAAATTTAACACTCTATCAGCCGAAAAAAATCTTTAAAACTGCAACTTTATTATATTTCTGGTCGTAAACTTGATATATTTCTCCGTTCCTCCAGTTCAGAGGCCCTGTGCTATTTCTTTAAGTTATGCTTTTTCGTAACTATATATGGCGGCATTTGGTCGAGTTTATTGACAATAATTTGACAAGTCTAGTCGCTTAATATGCACCTTTGAGTTAATTTGTACCGCTGTAATTTTGTCAGGTCTGGTGAAAAGAATTTCTAATTAGTTATAAATATACGGTACACAATATATACCGCCTATTTAAAACGTGTCTCTGTCCTGTACACTACAAGCTATGGTTTTGGCTTTACTGTTACTATACTTAATTTCTCTTTATCATTTTATTTTAATTCATCTTAGTATTGCCACTGACGTATCTACTAGTACCTCAATATAGGGCTCATTCCCAATGAAACTATTGGTCTATGTAAGTCTATCCAACTCCACAGGGACTCTCGCTGAATGCAATCAGATTGGCACGCTTCCTCTTGTTTATAACGTACTTGTAAAATGACCATATTTTCCGATTTCTACTCAAAGTCTAGGGGGTGGCATGCTTATCTCGTGATCTAATTGCATTCAGTGACAGTCCCCCTGAATTGATCTATCTGGACAGATATAGCGCATTCAGAACAGCGAACTAACAGATCCACGGATCAAATATGGCTGACCCACTTGAATGCTTGTTGCATTATCCCCAGGGGATCTGTTCAGTGTGTAAGCTTGTTAGTGGGTGTTCATATTTGATCTGCAGATCTGTTTGTTCTCTGTTCTGAATGTGCTCTTATTTTCATTGGGATTGAGCTCTTAGACCTAAATATTCTTAGCACTCATATAAATAAAGCTACAACAACAAATAATAATAATATTAATATTTATTTATAATTAAAAGTTGGTTGGTACATTTATAATGCTGAAATGAGAATTCTAAGAAAAACAAGGGGAAATATATTTTCAAAATCTAAAGTAATGAATACAGTTGATACAAACATATAATTACCTAAAATAATACAAGTATGATAAATAATGACAATAACAGTACTGCATTTTAGACTTTCAATGCAATTTTCAAAGACATAAAAACTGTATTTATAAACATTTGCACAGTGATTTTTATTTACATTTGTGCATTAAAAATTCCCCATGTATATTAATATGTACTTTGTAATATTTCATAAGGAAACAAAAGCCTTAAATTCACTGCAAAGAAACTGTAGTTTGCCACTTTTAAAATGTTCTCTCTCTCTCTTATCACTGTATATCCTGTCCACAGTGTGTTCAGTGATTTCCATAAAAAACTGATACATATACAGACACATATACAGCTATATATATGATCTCCACTGCACTGCTGAATACAATAGTCACATCATATTATCTGGTTGGGGTTATGTGCATAGATGAAATATCTTAAATATTACAGTAAGTGTAAAAGTAACTCTCAAGTGGTGAAAAACTTGAAAAATTTTATTTATCAAGTATTCTTCATCAGTTTTGTATACATACCCATTGTTAGCCTAAGTTTTACCACCTACCCAGCACATTTAGAACAGTGGACTAGCAGATCAGCAGATCAAATATGGCATAATCCCCACAGGGAATCTATTCAGTGTCTAAGCAAGAATTAAGTGGCAAGCTTTTTAGTGGGTTGCCATATTTGATCCATGGATATGTTAGTCTGCTGTTCTGAATGTCCTCAACGAGGCATGAGAGAGAAAATATAACAACAGCTATGTTGTAAAGAGTCTGAAGCTTTTTAAATGCTTAATATCTCTTTCTCATCTTTCTTTATATATCTATGCCTCTCTACAACTCAAACCCAGTTTCTCTTAAATTAAATTAAATACTGCAAGTCAAACCACCAGTTCTTACAAGTTACACTAAATTCCACCAGGGTACACTTGGTTTCATACGTATCACTATGTTTTATTGTACCATCATGTACGTGTGCCAATAAACCATTTTCAACCCATGCACTAATTAGCTTAATTAAATAAATAAACATTATTTGATTACAAACAGCTCCAGAATTACCAGGTGGGAATTAACTAGGTACCAGTGCTTATAATAGGCATTAACAATGTGATTCAGTCATCATTCTGACTTGCTTTATCTGGTATTAGTTTATTAGCACTACTTAAGGCAAACTCAATAAATAACTTTGGACATTTAAGATGAGAAAATGCCTTGTCTTTTAATTCAATAAAAAATTACAATGTAAGCAAAAAAAATGTACTCATCTTTTATAGAAACTACAATGAGATCATAACAGTAGTGTACATGCTAGTATAAAAGCTTCAGTATACTTACTGCAAAATGTTCTTATATTCTTATTCAAAGAAATAATAAAATGATATTCTGCATATTACTCACACACAATTGCTGCAGACATCTTTTATACTTAATTTAAACTTAATTAATTATAAGACTAGACAGCAAAGCTGGCAAAATATAC